AGATGCCAGTGGAGACTCACAATCAGTTCTCTCTCTCACACACACACACACACTCACACACACACACACAGAGTTTAAGAGGAGAAAACCACCATGACTCCAGAAGCAGCGACGAGTAAAACCTGAACCCGGATCGATCCGGAGCGAGAGTGTGGAACTGGATCCAGAGAAAAAGAGATCGAGATGAAGAAGTCACAGAACGAAAGAGCCCTAAAACACTGGCACACACACACACACACACACACAGACGCAGACACACACACGCAGACACACACAGACGCAGACACACACACACACACACACACACACACACAGACACAGACACACACAGACACAGACACACACAGACACAGACACACACACACACACACACACACAGACGCAGACACACACAGACACAGACACACACAGACGCAGACACACACACACGCAGACACACACAGACGCAGACACACACACACACACACACAGACACAGACACAGACACACACAGACGCAGACACACACAGACGCAGACACACACAGACGCAGACACACACGGACACAGACACACACACACACACACACACACACAGACACAGACACAGACACACACAGACGCAGACACACACAGACGCAGACACACAGACGCAGACACACACAGACGCAGACACACACAGACGCAGAGACACACACAGACGCAGACACACACAGACGCAGACACACACAGACGCAGACACACACAGACGCAGACACACACAGACGCAGACACACACACGCAGACACACACAGACGCAGACACACACAGACGCAGACACACACAGACGCAGACACACACAGACGCAGACACACACAGACGCAGACACACACAGACGCAGACACACACACGCAGACACACACACGCGCAGACACACACAGACGCAGACACACACAGACGCAGACACACACAGACGCAGACACACACACACACACGCAGACACACACACAGACACAGACACACACAGACGCAGACGCAGACACACACGCAGACACACACAGACACAGAGACACACAGACGCAGACACACACACACGCAGACACACACAGACGCAGAGACACACACAGACGCAGACACACACAGACGCAGACACACACAGACGCAGACACACATAGACGCAGACACACACACACACGCAGACACACACACAGACGCAGACACACACAGACGCAGACGCAGACACACACGCAGACACACACAGACACAGAGACACACAGACGCAGACACACACACACGCAGACACACACACGCGCAGACACACACAGACGCAGAGACACACACAGACGCAGACACACACAGACGCAGACACACACAGACGCAGACACACACACGCAGACACACACACGCGCAGACACACACAGACGCAGACACACACAGACGCAGACACACACAGACGCAGACACACACACACACGCAGACACACACACAGACACAGACACACACAGACGCAGACGCAGACACACACGCAGACACACACAGACACAGAGACACACAGACACACGGACGCAGACACACACAGACGCAGACACACACAGACGCAGACACACACAGACGCAGACACACACACACGCAGACACACACACACACGCAGACACACACAGACGCAGACACACACAGACGCAGACACACACAGACGCAGACACACACACACGCAGACACACACAGACGCAGACACACACAGACGCAGACGCAGACACACACAGACGCAGACACACACAGACGCAGACACACACAGACACAGACACACACAGACGCAGAGACACACAGACGCAGACACACACACACACGCAGACACACACAGACACAGACACACACAGACGCAGACGCAGACACACACAGACGCAGACACACACAGACGCAGACACACACAGACGCAGACACACACACACACGCAGACACACACAGACACAGACACACACAGACACAGACGCAGACACACACAGACGCAGACACACACAGACGCAGACACACACAGACGCAGACACACACAGACGCAGAGACACACACACACGCAGACACACAGACACAGACGCAGACACACACGCAGACACACACAGACGCAGAGACACACAGACACACACAGACGCAGACACACAGACACACACAGACACAGACACACACAGACGCAGACGCAGACACACACAGACGCAGACACACACAGACGCAGACACACACACACGCAGACACACACAGACACAGACACACACAGACACAGACGCAGACACACACAGACGCAGACACACACAGACGCAGACACACACAGACGCAGACACACACAGACGCAGAGACACACACACACGCAGACACACAGACGCAGACACACACGCAGACACACACAGACGCAGAGACACACAGACACACACAGACGCAGACACACACGCAGACACACACAGACGCAGACACACACAGACGCAGATACACACGCAGACACACACGCAGACACACACAGACGCAGACACACACAGACGCAGACATAGATGCAGAGACACACACACACACGGACGCAGACACACACACACACTGCAGCAGAAATGAGCTGTTGAGTGTTCTACAGACGAGCAGCTGCTGTGACACACACACACACACACACACACACACACTCAGTGTTTAGAGCTTCTGTCGCAGGAGTCGTTCCTCTCATTAATATCTGGCACCATGGAATCATCCTAATCCCACAGCTCTCGATGAACATGCAGTCACACACACACACACACACACACACACACACACAGCGAACACAACCTTCATGGATCCGCTGATGCCGATAGTGAAGCTTTAAGAGTGTATCGTGTGATAATGACCTGCAGTAATGAACAACTGATGTTTAATTAAGATACTCAACATGGAGATGGAAAACACATGCATCTATTCAGATATAACACACACACACACACACACACACACACAGCAACACATCTGCTTCCAATTCAGATGTTTGGAGAGAATTATCAATCAGTGTATAAAACATAATTGTGCATTTGCATGAAAGCAGCAGGTGTGATATCTCCAATCTCTCACTCAGTGTCTCTCGCCCACTGTCTCTTGCTCTCTCTTGCTCACTGTCTCTTGCTCAGTGTCTCTCGCTCTCTCTCACTCAGTGTCTCTCGCCCAATGTCTCTCGCTCTCTCTCACTCACTGTCTCTCGCCCACTGTCTCTCACTCAGTGTCTCTCGCCCACTGTCTCTCGCTCTCTCTCGCTCACTGTCTCTTGCTCAGTGTCTCTCGCTCAGTGTCTCTCGCCCAATGTCTCTCGCTCTCTCTCACTCAGTGTCTCTCGCCCACTGTCTCTCACTCAGTGTCTCTCGCCCACTGTCTCTCGCTCTCTCTCGCTCACTGTCTCTCGCTCAGTGTCTCTCGCCCAATGTCTCTCGCTCTCTCTCGCTCACTGTCTCTCGCTCTCTCTCGCTCAGTGTCTCTCTCTTCAGCAGGAGTGTATCTGTCCATCTGTGATCTGACATCATCAGTTCATCAGTTAATCAACTCAAATTAATACACATGATATTCTAGAGCAGATCTGCACGTTTCCCACACATCTACAACATAACAATATACTACTAAAAATCGATGTATTGGAGATTCATCATTTGCAGGAAAAACAAACAGCTGTTTATATGAGCTTTATGAGTTATGTTAATCTGATTGAGATGTGTATATTTTTATTTAAGTTTATTTAGATAGGGACAGATACAAATAACATAGATACATTTTGACAGTAATCTGATGCTTGTATCATAATGTTTTTAGCCATAGCTAATTTGCATATCCTTCTCTCATCTCTATTCTAGACTTTGTTCCTTTGAACAATTGTGGAACTTTCCAGCAAAGAACAAAAAAAATGTTCTAAGAGCGTTCTGCTAATGTTCTGCTAATGTGCCTATTAAGTTATTAAAACGTTTTTTTATGAATGTTCAAAGCGTCCAGTATTACATGTTTTTCTTGGTTCTATGAATGTTAAGGGAACATTGCATTCTCCAAACATTATGGAACGTTCCTTTTCAATGTTCTCTGGACGTTCTGAAACAATCAGTAACAAGACGAACATCCAACTAAAACGTTTCAGGTAAAAAAAATATATATATAATATTGTTCGTATATTGTAATGAGAATATTGTTAAAGACATGATAACTTTAAAAGAACGTTCTATTAATGTTACTGGAAGAACGTTTGTTCATAATTTTGAGAGAACATGAATAAATGAATATTAGTGTTAAATAAACGTCGAGTTTTGAACGCGTCAGTGCGCGTGATCTGGCCGACCCGCAACAGATGCAGATCTGAGTCTGTGCATGAATGAGGAAAGCGTTCCGCGAGCGCTAGACGACCGCGGTGAAACACTGCTCCTCTGCTGGCGTCATCAGTAAATACAGCAGCAGGGTTCAGACAGACAGCAGGTGTTGTGGCGCAGGGGTTCAGCCTCGCTATAACACTAACCCGAGCTAAACACGACACACACTACATTACATTTATAATCCCACATTTAACCCCGCGCGCGTGCAGTGACGCATTGATCAGGCGCGCGCCACGGATCGATACCCGCATCAGTAGCACCTGACAGTCACCAGCATCCCGCGATGAACACACACACACACACACACACACACAATATGCATAAACTCATCTGACGTCAGCTGCTGCTCGTTAAACTTTATTAAACACTAAAAACAGAAATGCAACAGAGAGAGTGAATGTGTGTGTGTTCGAGCCTCTCCATCCAGCAGCGCACAACACACACACACACACACACACACACTGAGCCCATTCAAACCCCAAACAGCAGCACAAAACGAGACACTGAGGAAAATCACACAAACTGAGCGGTCTTGAACGCACAGACCCAGCTGTCGTCGACCCAGATGGAACAACCCGTTGCGTTCTCACACACACTCACACACTCACAGAAAACTCGATTCCTGAGGGAAACGCCACTTATTTATCAATGCAGTCTGTGAAACCAGCAGTGTGGAAGAGTGTAAAGGCACTGACCGTGTGTTTGGGAGACACAGGTGAGGACACACAGCCCGATGAGCAGCGCGTAAAGTGTGTTCGGCTGAATATCTCCAGTGACGCAGCCCATGGTCTCCAGAAGCGCCGCACAATCCGCTATTAATCACGCAAACAGTCAATCAATCAATCCGCGCGGTTCAGGGTCATCCGCCGCCGTGAATGGGAAAACACCGAGTCCGATAACGACACGTTAAACTGCGCGATTCTCCATCCCCGATCCCGGTCGTGACGCGCGATCCTCTGCCAGACGCGCCGCTCGCTCACTGTGCGCGATGAGTTCTGCGATGTGGATTCATTGATCTGAAGAAGACGGGGTGAAAACCCGGAGGAAAAGTCCGTGCGGATCCCGGATTCCCGGAGCTGGACTGGGAATGAGGAGCAGGGCACGCGCCTGACATCTGCGCGCACAATAGAGACTCACACTGAGCGCGCGCGCGTGCGAGAAACAATGGGACGACTACTGCAATATTCACAACATCAAATGCTAACAATCTATCTATCTATATTTCTGGGTCTGTTGTTAATTACATGGGTTTGAATATGTATATTTTAAATAAAACGCAGAACAATGTGCTCCATGTGGATATATAGTCAGGAAGTGTGTTTTACACTCTTTGATACTCATAACTCCTATATATAACATAATATGTATATATATATATATATATATATATATGAAGAGTTCAGATGCAAAAGCCTCTAAATGCCATTTGAAATGATTTTTTATCAAACTTGTATATTTAAGTTCAGTAATTTCACTTAAATAACAATTAATAGGTAATTATCATTGCCATTTAAGTGAAATCACTGAACTTAAATATACAAGCTTGATAAAAATGATTATTCTAGAAGAAAATTTCAAATGGCACTTAGAGGCTTTTGCATCTGAACTCTTCATATATACTCCTATATATATAGTATATAACATACCTAATGTTGTGATAGGAGTACGTCTCAGTCTTCAGTGTAACGCTGTGTTTACTGCCGACTCTGATTCACAGCACTGCTTTATTTATAGAGTTTCTCTCATGTATTGACTAGCTGGATCTCAGTGTCTCCCATGAGCAACCAATTATACAAGCGTTCCCAGAGATCCCTAGACACACACACACACACACACACACAGTCACACACTCACTCACACAAACACACTCCTAAACACATAATGAATTTTATTCCAAAATGATTTCAATGTGTGTGTTTCCATGTTCTCTCTATTAACCTCATTTCACCATGAATGTGTCCAGATGTGTCTTATGTAATGCATTGAGAATAAACATTAATGAAATTAACAATTTATTTCAAAGAGTCAATATGATGTTCACCTTATCTTTCCATCCCGTTCTAAATGACGAAGCACATCCGTGCACATTATAGGTGCTGTAGATCGAGTCTAATGAGGCTTATTGTTCAGAACATCACGTTCCCATGTTATAAAAAGATTTCCAATCCCATGGTTTCCTTCTAAACTAACTACTTCAACCATCATTTTGTCACTATTTCCTTAATTTAATCAAAATAGTGCCGCTGATTTGTACATAGCTGTTCAAGTTTCCAATTAGTCCAATTAAATGTGTGCCGACACGACTAAACAAACACACGTGAGGTTTCATCCACCGCAGCATGACACCGATGAACAGAGATGATAATAATAGAGTTTAAAGAGGGGGGGGTCCGGGGCCTTAATGAGCTGTTTATCACATCATGAATGAACTCCCCATTCAGCAGGAAACGACACTGTAAACACACTTCAGATGGTGGAACACTGCCGAACGAAGCAGAGAACTCGACTAACACTGTAAGTCCTTCGTTCGTCTTCGGAGCACAAATGAAGATATTTGATTAAATCTGAGAGGTGGATCACTACCACACTGGCTCCTGAGGGATCGAAACTTGACGGCCCAGAAAGTCAATGAAGAAAATGTTTAAATATTCCATGTGACTACAGTGGCTCAACTATAAGTTTGTCAAGCGACGAGAATACTTTTTGTGCAGAAAAAAACCCAAAAAAAACCCAAAAAATCTTTTCTTCCTTGTAGGCGAGAGCTCAAGAGATTTCCAGGACGCACGCGCGAGAACTGAACAAGAAGGAGTAGAGTTAGATCGCAGTTCTCGCGCGTGCGTCGTGGAAATCTCTTGAACTCTCGTTCCCTCAAGAGAGCAGCCAGAAATATTGAGCGCAGCTGGAAGAAAACCAAACTAGAGGTGTGTCGTATTTCATGGAAAGAAAGCACTACTGCATACAGAAAGGCCTGAACACTTTTACGACTCTCTTAGAAGAAAACAAACACAACCCGAGGTATTTATTTGATACAGCGGCAAAATTAACAAGAAATAAAGCTTCTACTTTCTGAAGTGTCCAATCAGCACAGCAGTAATGACTTTATCAACTTCTTTACTTACTACACTGATAATATTAAAGAGAAAATCATAACTATGCAACCGTCTACTATAGTATTGCATCAGGGAGTATTGCATGTTTCCCGCCTGATGATGTCACTTCCTGGAGGATAATATCATGTTTAGTTTCATAGTCAGATCTACAAAAGACTAACAGATGGAAAATTATATTGAGGACACATGATGATTTTCAATTGTTTGGATTTTACATAACTGCATTTTAAAATCATTCAGAGAGTAAGTCTGATTTCATCTCGATATCTCTGTTAACATGTTGAAAATATAATGTTTATTTACTGTCTTTTTCCTTTTTTATTGCACTTGTTGAAACACATTAATAAATAGATTTAAACTATATAAAGTATATATATAATGTACACTCTAAACAAACCGAACATTTGTGTTTGACCATATTTGACCGAAATTTGGGTTCTAACGACCCAGCATTGTTAAGAGTGTCCTGCTTTGAAACCGCATGGACTGTAAGATCTGCAGTGAGCATCAGGATATTTTCAACCACATGATTTCTCAAAATACAGCTGAATAAAACTGCATGTTAAACACTGAATTAGATCTGAATGGTTGTGTTTGAGTCTCATAAAGACTGACGAAGATAATGATGATGAAGCCCTATGAAACATGTTGAACAAAACCATCACATGATCTTCATGAAGTTCTTCTGTCAATGGATTTAATTACTCTTATTATGCAACTAATAAGGTTGTGACTAATCTGATTATTTCTCACAGGAACTCTCTCAACTAGATTAGTTATTTCTTAACGTAATTAGCATTGCCGAGTGCAGATTTCATTCAAATGAAAAGAAAGAAGCACATCCGGCTAATCCCAGAACGGCTATTAACTCGGGCTGGGGGGGGGGGGGGGGTATTCTGCTGTCGTATTTGATTTACATGCTGCTGTGAACACCTGTGTCTCGTGGCCACCAATAATTACCTTACTCGCCACCGTTTTCTCCTAATAATGGCCACGATTTACTAGGCCTCTTCTGTCCTCGGACAGCTGGTGCTTTGAGGAACGAGGGGCTCCTCCACAATCCCACAATGCTCCACGTAACCATGACGACACAACATAAGCTCCCGAGGAAAACACACAATGACCATCACAGACCTATAAAGATCATTTAACAAGAAACAATAGGCAATGTTATGGGTCAGATGTTAAAGAGGTGGTTTAAACACACACTGACATCAGTAATATTTATTTCAATGGTCCTAATAATTATAAGTATGTTTGCGAGTATTAATTCTACTACTCCGACCCCTAATCTAACAGTCTACTGATACTCTAATGATCTTCACTTGATCGTTAATTCTATTACATTACACTTTAGGTAATGTAATCGTACTACTTTTAGATGACCTGTTCATAGCATTGATTTGAACGGTGTAATCTTGTACCATATTAGTTAAAAAAATACAAAGAGAAAGGACAATGTTATGAACATCATCAACTGCATTAAAAATCACATTACATCAGGGCTTGGGGAGGAACCGAAGGTGGTTCGCCAACTGATGAAAAGCTAATTATTAATCAATTCCTACAATTATCTAAATAAAACAAAATCCATTCTTTCAGTTCATAAAGGGATAGTTCACTTTGAAATTAATTGTTGATATGTTTTATCTTACCTCAAGGGCATCCAAGATGTAGGTGTCAAACCGTTGTTGTCTGTCAGTCATATAATGCAGGTCTATGTAGCCCACCTCAAACATGCACAGAGAAGTCAAAATTAAACATGATTTAATGACTTGTAAATGTAAGTATTGATGGCCTAAGACACAAAACGAGCGGTTTGTGTGAGAAAACGAACAGTATTTATATAGTTTTTACCTCTTATTAACAACCGTCGAACTGCTCTGAATCAGATGTCCAACTGAACCGAACTGAACCGTATCCAACTTGACGCCGGAAGTGATCGCGTGCGTATGTAGGTCACGCATTGTTTACACGGAGATTTTGGAAGGTTTACCTTTCACTAAACATATTTAGATATATCGAAATCGTCTTCCATTGCGATTTCCCTTATATCTAAATATGTTTAGTATATATAATAGGCCTATGCTTATTGTAAAGTGTTACCGTTTTATTATTATTATTATTATTATTATTATTCAACACACCAACAGAATATCCAGAATATAAGATATATGTAACTAATGCTTATCTCAACAGGAGTACGCGACGGATCGACTGAATCTCACCACAGTCCTCTCACACAGCGATTACGCAGTGCACTCTGGGTAGCGGCGGCCATCTTTTAGGACACGGTTGTCGTAACTAAGGTAAACAAACACACATGGACCGTGCGAAGATCAAGCACAAGGTTATCTACCTAGACAAGCTGAACAAGGAAGCAAAGGAGCGCTGCTTAGAGAAAATGAAGGCAATTAACAGAGTGGTCGACTGATCTGAACAAACTACCGCAAACAACATTTCCTGACGTTTTCTTACCTTGTTTGTGGTGTGAGCGCATACACATTTGAACCAGACACACCCCTCTGTCACCAACAACAACAACAACACTGCAAGTCAAACTCTGCGTCGAAACTCATATTTTGAGTCTCTTAAACGGGTTAAAAATAAGAAAGCTATGTCAGCAACTGAATTATGCTCTAAAATGTTCAAGTGAAAATTAGGAAAATTATTTCTCTTTTTATAGATAATGAAGTTTGTAAGTCTTAAGCTATGCATCATTATTTTGATTTATTTTTTTATTTGATTTATTTTTTGCTGTATAATATGTGTTTACGAACTGTGATGCTTGTATGTTTGTAACTTGCATTCTAATAAAAAAAAAAGTTAAACTCTGCGTCGTATATATTTTCTTTTTTACTTAGGAAACATTTTAGTTAACTGTTTACTTTTATTAAATGTAATTTCCAGGCAAAAAGCTGTTGTTTTTGTTGTTTCTGCAATGTTCTAGATTAGTTTCTGTAATAAGTCAGCATCCGG